TTGTTCTTCTTCTTGTTGGTATTGTTCTTCTTCTTGTTGGTATTGTTCTTCTTCTTCTTGTTCTTCTTCTTCTTGTTGTTGTTGTTTATTTATTCTCTCTATGTAAGAGTTCCGATGAGACAAATGAAGCCAACAGCAAGAGAAGACGACGAAGAAACAAGAGCGGAGAAACGGAAGAGAACACTGCAGTTACCATAGGTTAAATAAAGAGACCAGCAGGAGGGTACGAGTAGAAAGAAGATGAACACAAGAAACATGTTTTGACGGATTGGACGAAAAAAAGGAACAGAACACGGGCAAGACGTGGAGGGTGGACAGCTTCGATCAGTTTCTACGCTATATTTCCTCCAAATATATACAGTAATCTCTTGACCCAAGAGAGAAGAATAGAAGAGAAAGAAGACGAAGAAGAAGGGACGACCCAAAAGCAACAACGAGAGACCAGCAGACAAAAAAAGAGAGGAGTGAACAGGCGCTTTCTGGAAAAAGACAACCAAACATCAGAGACAGGTTCCTTTTTCCCTTCACCCAATCACCCCACCCAGACGAGATGGGTCTCATGCATCGGGATCATAGCTGGGGTCATGAGTCATCATGAGTCATCATGAGTCCTCATGCGTCATCGACGTTCGGTTCGGCCACATCAAAAGCCGCATGAGTCAGCCCATGATGTGACAAGCGGTGGACCGGACACGTCTGTTGGACACGTCGGCTGGCCTTGCTCTTGGCCATGGCATCGGCACGGGTTTGAGCAATCTCCAGTTCACTGACGAACTGGGCGCCATCCGCATTGATGAGCCTCGCCACGATCTTTCACTGGACGGTCAGATTGGAGGGGCCGGCAAACAGCCGCAGCACACTTGGCCGAGACAGTCGTCGCAGGCCAGACCGCACCATTGATATGTTTGAGATTGACTGGTGACACCAGGGTCAAGAGCAAATGAGATAACTCCCTATTGCATGAAAATGATGCCCATTTAGATCCTTGAGTAAACCAAACATAGTAAAACCAAACATCCAATATGTTTGGAGCTGGACCATCTATGCCTTCTCACATCCTAAGTGCTCTGAAGTAAAGCTCATATCACATATACCGTATTTTTTCTTGAGTTTCTTGAGAAATGATTAAATCGCTGAAGGAAAGCTTCCAGCTCAAACTGGCCTAGGCTTTCTTGGTGTGCCCAACTCACCCATGGTAGGTTGTCTCTTTCTGTCTCCTGTGGCAGTTTGCAGGTACATTGCTCATTGCTCCCAACCAACTCTCAAAATGATCCCGACCATCAATCCACTGTTTCTCTCAGATCGATGCTCCATGTCGCCCACGTTCACTCCTTCACTCCTTCTTCACTCCTTCTTCACTCCGTCTCAGTCCCCCCACGTCTCAGAGTCCCCACACATCCTGGGCGTCTCAGTCCCCACACTCCAAGTGGCTTGCCACCAGCTCCCACGATGGCGTCCGAAAGGACGATCTTGAACTTCTCAGTCTCCATCCCTCGCCGGTCGCACCGGCGACGAACGTGACACTGGATCGTTCCACCCGGGGGAGTACACACGAGGCCCTCTTGGCGCGTGCGACAAACGTGACACTCCCAGACGCTGATTCCATCAGGTGGGCTTTTTCGGGCTGTCTCGGATCTCTGACAGTTTTTTTTCGACTTACTCACCGAGTTCCCGGGACGCTGGCTAGCAGGCTTAGCTGATCTGCAGAAAGCCGCGGCCGTTATCGAAATCCGGAGACGCTGCAAACGGAAACACCTGTGGTGTAAATGGATGATGTATGATCATGTACACACCCTTCAGAAAGAGGAGTTGGTGTCCAAACTGATCTATTCAAATCACATGCCCTGCTTCTTGCTGGTCCATTTCTATCTAACCTCGAGCTCGCGGAAAGCCGGGTGTGCGCCCGCACACGCGCGTGGAAACTTCCTGCGTCTCAATGCTCACCCGGATGCCTGGAATAATGGCGGAGGTGGGATAGACTGAGACCATGTTCATGTTCTGAGTCGCTGCCTCGCCATCATGGCAGGCGGGCAGAGCTCTCGCTGCGGCTGTTTGCGCGAGCAGCACAGCGACTGCTGGAGGTTGGTGGAACCGGAGAACTCCAAAGCGAGTCTACCCTTCCGGATGGCTTGGATGACAATTCCCTCTCATCACTGTGGGTCCACTTCCCTTGTTGCGAACATGTGGGTGTCTGCACCAAGGGAAGTGGATTCCTGGGGTTCATTCTGTTTCATTCGGGCCGCCTCTGACGGCCTTCCATGTAGAAGACCACTCGTTCGGTCCGGATCCAAATACGGACGGGGACACTTGAATGCCCTTAGCACACTGATATATATATATATATGTATATGGGAACCGGATTTATGGGAATAGTCCGATCTGACACCATCGGCCAGAGGTGTGTGTCTTCCATCTTCAGCCTTGACGTCGGTGGCCAAAGTGATGCCATCTCCATTGGTGCGCTCGTCACCTGGGCTTTGCAGAAACAGGTGGCCGAACACTGACAAGGCGATTCGCCCGGGAAGTGATAAGAGCCATGGCCCAAAACGGCCATGGCTAAGAAAGGAGTGATAAGCAGTGCCTTGGAGCACCTGAAGATAATAGATATCATCAAACCTTCACGGCGCATCTTTTTCAGACAACCCACAGAGGATATCGCGTCGCGATGATATCCCAGCCGGACTGATCCACCGGATTGTCGGTCGGTCCTTCAGTCGACCGCACCGAAGGGTCTTTGGGCGAATCGTTGGGTCGACCCCACGCTTCGGCGACGTCGTCCGCTTGGGCGACATGCAGAAAAAGATTTGTCCGCTCACGTCGGACAAAGCCTCTTGTCGAACTTCCTTGATGCACCTATTATATATACTGATTTGTTGATATCTTATTTACAGCAAAATCAAGATCATACAACATCAATGTCCACCGCACCATGGAGCATGACCGCAACAAAACCACCCGAAGGCACACAGAAAAGAAAAGACCTATCAAAGACCACTCTCCCACTCTCTTCTTCCACACAGTAAATGGATGTTTTCTCCTTGAAACCTCGCCCCAAACGTGCGTGTCATTCTCCCGAGGTGCTTGTGGTGGGCACCTGCAGGAGTTGTGGCGCCCACTTGGCCATCAAAGAGGCCGGGCTCGTGTCGCCCGCGAAGCCGCCCGTGGCGATGAGGACCAAACCCATCTCCTTCGGTGGAGTCTCTCCGCGTCGGGGCACGGCAACCAACGCGCGGAATACTCCGTCGCATGAAGCGGTGAACCTCTGGGAGGAGTTTTTGGAGGCGGCAGGACGGAGTCGGTGATGTGTGTGTGTGTGCGTGTGTATTTTTAGGATTGAACAGTATCGAACAGTATAAGCGGACAATTATTACTGTAATCATAATAGTATATTACAGGATTCACGTCAAAAAGGCCCTGGTAAATATGTAGTAGTAGTAGTAGTAGTAGTAGTAGTAGTAGTAGTAGTAGTAGCATGATCGTCTGGAACCCTGATGCAGAGGGACTGCAATCGCAAGCTTGGCACTACCGTGGATACGCTTTTTTCGTTTTCCCCGTGCTTTCCAGCTTGGCAAGATCCTTCTGGAGGCGTCCGGCGTCCCTTGGGTCCGAAAGAGAATTCCACGGCCCAGGCAGATCCACGCCCAGATCTGCATGTTACTTTCCATACCAAGCCGTGGTTTGTGGCACATGCTTCGCGGATTTTTGTGCCAACACCCGTTTTGGCACACCTGGTGCGTTCTTCTGCCTGGGTTTGAGGGTAGCCCGTAGGATTTGGAAAAGCAACAAAGCCACCACAGTGCGGACATGTTCCATGGAAACACCCCTTGCTTTGAAACGTTTAATAGATAAGATATATGTATACAGGAAGGCTAAACGGACCAGTAAATGGTGACCCCAATCCTAAGACGTGCCAGCAAGATCCCATCGAATTCCTGCCAAAAGACAATTCCGCAAAAAGAAGAAACTCAGCCATTTCGCCTGTCCTTTTGAGTGCCTCCAGCTTGGTACTCTGCGCCAACCACCTCAATGCTCAGCAGGACATGCGAGGAAGCTTGTTCAAGGAGGGATGTTGCAAAAATAACGAATGGAGCCAGGTGCCCAGGGCCCATCCACTCAGGAAAACCCACTTGCTGAGAACTGCTGCTACCGCCAACATCCAGGTCGACCTGCAAAAGAAAGCCAAGCCTAGCCATCTGCAAACTCTGGTGCTTCCTGTTCATCAAAATGCAGGTTTGAAACTTCTCTGCGCCCTCTCCCTCCACCCTCAATGCAAACCCATGCCACCACAGCCCATCACCCTCATGATGCCCTTCGAAAAAAAAAAAAAAAAACGCAGTGCCATCCCTCTCACCCTCCGATCGAAGCCAACATCTATCTCCCTCGCGTACTACCCAGACATTCCATGAATGTTTATGCTAGCGGAATTTTTACCGCCCAAAAAAAACATCCAGAAAAACATGGATGTTTTGGAGATGGACGACTTCAGCACAGTGCCTCGATTCCGAGGGTTCAGATGTCATTCGGTTCAAATTACACATGCATACAGAAGAAACCCTTCTACGTTGCTACACAATGCGAGCGACTGAGAGTGGGGTGGGGGTTGGGGTGGGGAAG